ATAACTCCATCTTAAAAAAATCTATTATTTAAAAAAAAATACATACACAAAACCATGCCATCAACTTGAAACTGTTTTCTTCCTGTGAAATGCACAGTTCCATAGCAGATTATTGCTCAACGTCCTTGAGATTTTCAAATGCACAAATATTTTTCATGACAGAGCAACTCTAATGAAGCTCCTTAGTTACACTGGTGTGGTTTACACAACACACCTTCTAGAATCCCACAAAAACGTACCAGTGCTGAATGCCTGTCAAAAACCTGAAGTTTGTAGCATTCAGAAGAAAAAAGCTCATCACAACCAGCCACTGCTAATGCGTCAAATACTGGAAGCAGGTGCAAGCACACACTGAGCTCATAGGTTATAACTAACTACTGTAGCAATGTCTACATACTTCCGGAAGGGACTACAAAGTTGTGGTGAAATTTTGGCTTTGAATATTTGCTCATGCTTGCAAGAGACACCAACTTTTTTTGCTTAAGTCACATATTCATCCTTAGCACAAGAGCACTACTGGCATGAACTTGGGAGCTTGAGCTACCAGGATACACCTCAACCTTTGTCCTGCCTGGAGATGAGTCTTTAAGGCTGGCAAACACCCAACAACCCCTCAGCAGGAGGACTGTGACCACAACTCCTCTGAAACACCCTGCAACACCCCATTACAGTTTCACAGAGCCACCCTGTCATTTTATCTAAGAGCACACTTAATGATGGTCAACTTCTTTGAAAACTCACCTGAATATTGAGATGACTCATACTCAAGAGCAACAGAGTGCATTCATCCCTCAGCAAAGGGTCAAATCTAGATTAAACCTTATTAACTACTTATTAAACAAGACAGCTGCTTCTTCCCTGTCCCCACTTCCCTGATCCCCTTGCAGCATATTTAAAGGGAAGGTGTAACACGCTTGTCAGAATGACACACAGGATCCCACAAGGCACATACTTCACTACAGCTGCTGTAACTTCAGCATTTTGGACTCCATCATACTGCCTCCACCTCAGCTGCACCTGAAGCTGAAGAGGTTTCCCAGGTTTTGGGGAATGGTAAAAATCTCCATTAATGTATAGGGCAAAGAGCAGCAGCACAAGACCACAATCACAATAATTTTGGGAATAGCAGTATGCAAATACACTGCAGACAGCCTTGTTTGTATGGACACAATATTTAAATAACAGAAATAAAAGGTATCTGCCTCTGTGGGATGGAAAAGTTGAAGGTTAGAGTACAAACCAGCCTGAAAATACAGTGAATGAAGGATGCTGTGAGGAGCACATGCAATACCAGAGCTGGGAAAGGAGCCAGACAGGCCACTGTCATGGCGTTGGCCCTTCACACCACCTCACGAATCACCTTTTCAAGTCACTGACTTCTACAGTAGAACTGCTCAAGCTCGAAGTGTCTAGGAACTAGAAATCTTCAGTCTAAGGAAGTCTTTCACTACACTGGAAGTATGATTGAAGTTCAAGCTCAGCACGTAGTGCAGATGCCTCCAAAGATTTCAGCTGTTTACCACTGACTTGCCTGTCTGTTACAAACTCTACAAAAGCAGAATCATATTTTCTTACAGCTTACCTATAAGCACGAAACCTGACCAGCATTAAACCTAACAGCAGAACGCGTTAGAAACAGCTTCTCTGAACATGAATACTTATTCATGGTTACTCATAGAGGTTAGTTAACACACAATATATTAGTATACAGCATGATAATCCAGGACTTGATTAGCCTACTTATTCAACAACAGCACTCCTCTATGCCTTTCTTGACCAATTTTATAGTCTAAAACAAATTAGCTACATATCTGAATACATTTACTAGAAATGTTAGCCAAACACACTCAGTGAACCACCAACCAGCCCCCTTTAAGTCTTGTGCCTGGCACCACACTGCAATCCTGTAATTCATCAGCATTTGCATCTGATGCAAGAAATTCTGTGATTCTGCCTTGGATCGATGCCGTGCCAATCACCTTGCTATAGTGGCATATCAATGAATTTCTGCCCCGTGAAGCTTTGCTGGTTCTTCGTGGTTTACTTAAATATCAACACCAAAAAGTTTCACATGGGAAATTACTTAAAACATTTTGAATGCATGATACTCACCTTTAGAAACGGCACGAAAATGTAGAGCCCCTTACTCCAGGAACAGAAAAACACCATTAACACTGTCACAATGCAGAGAATAGAAATACTCCACACTTCTGCATCTTCTGCACCATTTTGAATCATCTTACCATCCATATGTAGCAATGAATTCCCACAATATATTACAAAAACTCCTCCTTGTTCTTCACAACAGATCTTTTTCATGGACAATTTTTATAGTTCAATCTTAACATTTTAATTTGCAAACATCAGCTTCCTCATTATCTCTAACCACAAATCCATTCAAAGTCTGCTTTTAGTTCTCCTAACCAGACCATACTTTTATGTACAGCAATAGCACCATTTTTTTTTCTCTTCTTGGTGCAAAAGGGGAGTGGAACAGACTAACAGAAGAAGAATGTGCAGTTTTTTTTAAAGAGCTCCCTTTATTCACCTTGATTAGAAGATAAAAATTTGCCTTATTCAGAAAACAATCTCTTTCAGAACAAAATACATGCATACTATCAGTCAGCCTTATGTTAATTTGCAGAAAACATATTTAGATCATGAACACTCGTTCAGGCAGCTGTGTACTTTCAGCCCACTGATCATCTTTGCTGAAGAGCACAAGAGTCAATCCTTTAAAGAAAGATACTAAGCTTCTGAAATTACACTAGGGGCAACATGAGACCTTCAACATATCCCCTATTTAAAGCCAACAAGTTGTTGAAGTTCAGACAGAGCTAGTAAAGCCAACACTTTGGTTTGGTGTGTTGTGGTTTTTTGTTTGTTTGTTTAACAGAATCCTCATTGTGGAAAAATGATAAGGAAATGAAGATAACCCTTTGGGGATTAATTACTGTCTTCTTTTAATGAAGCATTTTCTCCTAAAAGGCTTACTTAGCTTGTTTTATGTAACAACAGGAGGAAAAAAGTTAATTTAAAAATATTCTGGTAATTCTTTTCTGTAAAGATTTCTCACTTTGCTTTCCCAATTCTGAACACTACAGTGACATAGCTAGGAGGAAAAAAAAACCCAACAAACAAAACAAAACCCCCATAGAACAACTTCTTGCCATCTTCTTGAAAATTTGTCAGTATTTGGTAAACTAATAAACATTTAAGAAAAAAATCCTGCAACCAATACATACACTAACAGAGACCTGAAATTTAGGAGATGAAACTCCTGAAGACAATCTGCATAAAGGTTGTTGGCTACACAGATTTTTTTTTAACCTCAGTAGTTACTATGACAGGGGAGCTGTTATTCCTGGGATTCTTACTCGAATTCTCCTTGGATCAACCGGTATGAAGTAAAATGTTGACTAGCAAAAGCTAAACTTTGCAAGGGGCTGGAGAGACTGGACCCAGCTGGGCAAAGATGCTATATTTATACTAACAAACTAGAGTCTCATCCCACAGTCATACAGAGTTAAACTGCTGTCACAGTTTTTTGGCTTGTGCCCATTAGCAGGTTCCCAAACACTGGTTGAAGTTCAGCATGGGCTAGGAGCCATTCTCACAGGCAGCTGCCCTGCGTTGGAAAGTAAGAGTTTAACCATAAAGTCATCATTTTGATCTCATGACTGCAGAGCTATCTCTGGCACTGCAACTACTAGAACAGACATAGGAAAAAAAATAACTAGAAGTGTGGCATGGGAGAGGAGGAGACCCTGCATGAAAAAGGCAATAAAGCCACGTGACTAGAAGCCAGAGTGAAACAGGCACATTGAGATGGGAAATATAGCAAGTTCAGTCTACCATCTGCTAGGTAAAAAAAAACATGAGGCTAAAGAATTTCTGCACATTAGACCTCTCTCCTGTAACAGCTGGTTTAATGCGATAATCTTTTTTGGAGAATACTAAAAGTAACAAGACAAAGCAGGTATACAAAATTTTTTATTGACAACAGAACAGTAAAGAGGAATGTCACCACTTGCCATTCCTCAGGAATGTCTCCATTTCACAGTTAGTCTGCTGAAAGTATACTTTCATGGTAACAAGCAACATGAAGGCATGGAGCTGTCTGTAATCTCAAGAAAAATGTTTCAGTGCAGTGTAAAGGGACCGACAGTGCGCAAGTGTGTAGCAGGCCCTGTCACAACACAGACATGGCAGGCAACTTTATATGCAGAGCCAACAGGCACAGACATGAAGCACTCAGAAGTCTCAAATTACGGCCATTATTTCCATCTAAAGGCAGTACCTTAAGTGCTGCTCCATACACATTCTGTTTCACAAGTGCATAGTTTCTTCCCTCACTTCTTTTGCTTCCCCTGTCCTCAAAGATGTTAATACCTCCTGAATGGTACCACCTCAGAGAATGCCTGAGCTTTGTATTTTGTTACTTCACACTAGTTCATGCATGCACTTGAGTTTACTTTCAGAAGCTTATATTGACATAAAAAAGGAAAAAAAAAGGTGCTGATTAAGAATAAAAGGATTTAGTTAATGCTTCCTTGCTAACAAAAATATTTGGTAGTTGTTGAAGATAATCCTTGTAATGTCATTTTTATAAAGTATGTATGCAGCCTACTTAACATTTTAAATAAATTGCATGTCATAATCTTAACATAATTTCAAATACTCTGAAATTAAAATTGAACTGAGATTCACTCTAAACAATAAAATATCTTAATTTTAGCTTTCACAGTACACAGAACTGCACACTGAGTGCAAGATGAAAGCACTCTTTCTCCTGCATAAGTTTCCTCTGCCTGCAAAACCATCCTGGGACCCCCGTGTAGTAGTTTAAACATTTGTTAACACCATTCTATGATTTATTAATTTATCATGTTTTTTCCTTTACTTAGTGGATGTGCCTCTGGATGTGTAGACTGGTTGTTAAAGTGCTTTAAAATAAAACGAACACCCCAACAAAAGAAAACATCCCTCAAAAAACCTCAACAGATGCAGAGAATTTTACATGAAGGACTATGTACAGCATTTACAACGTCAGCAGAAAGCATCCGAAACATGAGCATTCCCTGCAAACTGATGCAGTGCAAGCAGTCTCATACATTAGATAATGCAATTCCTCTGGATTCAAGATGCACAATACTTACAAAAACAACCTTAGAAGCACAGACAAATGCTGGTGGCTCTTCCTCTTGTTTTTAGAAACGTAATAAAAAAATCTGCATTACTCTTTCATAATTTAAATACATAAGTAATCTCCACTTTTATTACTTCATGACAATGACTTCAAATTTACATTATTTTGTACCGTCATAATAGCTCCATGTATAATACAGATATTTGCTGATATCCTGTCAGAAAATTAAAAAAAAAACCCTTCCACTATATAAAAAAAAATTATGCTGGAAAGACAAGAACACAGAACAGTGACTTGGTACAGACTATAATTTCAGTTTTATATCAACCACAGTTAACCCAAAATTAACAGATACACAGCGATATTCAAAAGCAGTGCAAATATCTTTGGAGGTTAGAATAAAATTATACTACAAGAACATAAGACAGAAGAAATAAAAGGCAAATACTTCAAGTACAGGAACCAGTCTCTGGGAGGTTCATCTTAGTGTTAGCTGGAAGTTCCTTTTCCCATCTTACTTCTTCCTCTGGAACACATTAGCCAACATTGCACCTGATGTAGTCAGCTGGCCCATTTTGTTCAAGAACTTGGTCTTTGTGTCTTCACTCACAAGGCTTGCTGCAATTGACATTGAGCTAGGAAAGTAAAAAGTTTAGTGACATAAGACTACTAAAGAAAAAGAGCACTGCGCTGTTACTTAAACAACTAAGTTTTCTCTGCATTTTCAAAGTTTCAAGATCACAAGAGACCAGTCTATCAAGAAGAACTGAAGAACCATGATTTCCAAGACCAAATACAGACTGTTAAATGAATTATCATGCCCTCAGAGTCCTAGTGAAAACTTGTAAACTGTTTTCGTGCATGCTACTTTTTCTACCTTTTACCTCTAGAAGTCACCACATGAGCATTTGTTAGCTATTTGGCAGTTGCTCTAGTGACAAATACCTGTGTGAAAGATCGGCTTTACCTTCTCACTGGAAATGTCAATCTTATTTAATATAAGAACAACACTGCTGGCTCAGACCAAGGATCTGTCTAGCCCAAGTGTCCTGCCTCCAACAGTGACTATTAGCAGACACGTAGGGAAGAGTAAAAGCAAAGTAAGTACAAAACAGTGACGTCTCTCCTTAATTTCCAACTCTTATTTTCCAAATATTTTCACCTGAGCAGAGTTTAAAATTGGTGGGCTTTGTCAGTCTGGTAAATCCCAATGAATCTTTGTTTTACATCACTTGTTCAACTTTCCTTTGATCCTCTTTAAATTTCTTGTAAACCCCACCACAGGACACTGAGTCCTATGAGTTCTACCCCTCATTGGGTAAAGAACTTTCTCCTTCTGGTTGTTGTGAATGTGACTCCTCCTTGAGTGTTCCTACTTCATACTTACTAGAAAAGACAATGGACAGTCCATAATTTTCCCACAAAGTGGGAGCAACCTAATCAATGCTGAACCTACAAGATGCTACAACTACGAACAATGTGTTAAGAAATTATCCCAATGCCGCATAATTAACTAATATTTTGTAATTTACGACATGTCACCAAGCTCAACTTTAGATACACCTAACTCTTTAGCACAGTAGGAGTAATCTGTCTCGAGACAAGAGTGCAACAAGACAAATGTATGATAGCAGGAATAAATATTCCATACTGCCTGTATTTGTAGTTAAAATGGCAAACATATTTTTCAACATTAGACAACACCAATTTTGCAAAACATTACCAGTTAAATTCTCCCTTGTGAGCTCAATGTGGACTCTGCATTTCAAAATTATACCTTGGACCACAAGGTCCGTCTTACTGGCACAGGCCAGCTTCCGCAAACTGACTTTTCAGTCTGCAAGGTTATAAACAGTTCTGTTAGACAGTTTTGCATTAAGGCATGTCAAATTGAAGTTAACTCCAAATTGCTTCAATAAAATTTGAATTATTTATTCAAAGGTAGCATGGATACATTCAGTATTTTTTCCCATTTCATACCACAAAAGAAGGTGCTTAGCGCTTGGCAGTAATGAATTCTGTTTCTTTTTAAACAGAGTATTTGAAAAAACAAAAGGTAAGCTTCTCCCTAAAGCTGTACTGTGGCTTTACAAGTAGCTTAACTGTATCGTAACTATAACCCCTCAAATGTACCCTCCTTCCATCCTTTCTACTTTTTAAGCTGAAGTGACTCCCTGTCTTTAGCATTTCCCCAGTGCCTAATGGACCTCGATCCTTGCAGGGGCCTTAGGTATGGCTTACAGAGCATACCCGAGAGTATCATGAAGCATACTCTTAGGTTTGTTTTTTTTCAGTACATCTCCTGCTAATGAAGGTGGTTATTCAAATCAATAATCTCATTGTAAATCTTATTATTAGTTGGTATTTTCTGAAAGCTCTGTGAAGTTCCTATCTAATATTTAGTGTTTAAGCACCATTTTATTGAAAAGAAGATTTCAGAATTTTTAGTAAAGTTTAAAATTTTGAAAACTGTTCTCAGGTTATATCTCTTTTTAGACAACAACTGATTAGAATTGACATTTTATTTAAAAATAATAATATTTTAATTATATTTAGCAGCCACTGATGAAGATATATATCTGTTTTGAAATTATTTATAAACGATTTATTTCACACACAATCACATAGCTAGACATCTCTGGCCACATATTTCCAGTTGATAAAACTTAGTAGGTAAGTTACTACTACTGTAAGATGGATTACTTGGGCAATTTCCTTTGATTTAATGACAAAGCAAGGGCATATAAATCATGTGAACAACAGTTTATACTTGCTACTAGGTGGCTAATAACAGGAAGCTATTCCAGCCTACGACATATCCTAAAGTTGTGTGTACTAGGGAAAATGTTTTGGGAAATCGAGTACATTCCAAGCGTCAGCAAGATTAAGAAAATAAAATTGCTCACTTGAGAAAAGAAAGGCTAGCAACTGGTGACACACCTGTAGTTTTAAGCAAACTGCTGGCATTATTCTAATGAATCTGAATAAGCCTAAGGAAAACTAGGAAATATTCAATTGACTTTCAAAACAGTTTTGGGGGATATCAGCCATCTGATGTTAAAAATTAAGAACTGGAGTGTCTAGAAGTTCATGATTTCTAATATTATGTTACTGTAAATAGAAAACTAATTCGCAACACTTGACATACTTAAAAGCTTACATATGCCCCAGAAATATTTCTGTTACTATATAAATTAAACATTTAAACATAGTAATAAAAGCAATATGAAATAAAAGAATTTGAGTCTCATATCTTTAAAAAGTAATCAGAGAACCCAAGGCGGCAATAACATATCTTGTTTGAAACACACAGTCCTATAGAAAAGCCCTTGCATTTACTCATTATTCAAAAAACAAAACGGAAACCAAACACAAACAAAAATAATGGGTCAACATCAATTTTTTTGACCAGTGTCTAGATGAATGATATGCTACATAGAATTCTGCCTGTTTTATGGGGAAGCTTTAGGTCAAAACAAATCTTCATGCTGGACATTTTATAAAAATCAGTTTGTAACATAAGCCATTACCCATGATTGAAATACCTTGTTAATTGCTAAACAAAATGTTTAACAAAAGTGGATATCCATTATTTAAAGAGACAAAGTTTAATATTTTTAGAAAATATTAAACAGGTTTCTGTGACCCCATATTATTTGACCAACCTTTTCTAACTGAGGAGCAAAGACAAAAATAACCAACAGCGTCTTATGATTATGATAAATCAGTAATTTATCTCCTGGTTGCATGTAAATCCTTTGTCAAATATATATTTAATGCTGAAATTAGGAACTGAAATTGGCAAGGACTTAGCAAGAAAAAGGAGATATTAATGTCTGTGAAAGGGTCATTCCTTCAGTGGTAAAATATTTCATGATACTTTTGTACAGTAGAAGATTGCAACCATAGCTTGATTTTGAATAAGAAAGGGGAAGGATAATTAAAGAATGAAGCAACACACTGTGAACACTTATCCTTTTCAAATCTTACAGTTTTCACCAGTTGCATTCTGAAAGAAAACACACTGGATGTAGTATCATGTTTGCATTTATCTGTTTCGGCAATGGCTTAACAGGACTGATTTCAAAATATTTTCATAAGATGGATTTTAAGTAATACAGACCTCTTACATTTAGATTAACGTGTCTGCACTGATAGAAGCTAAAGCAAGGTTAAGTCGAAACCCTACATGAAATAAAAGTTGATCACAAACTCTATTCACGCAGAGAACAGGTTTGGCGAACTAAATAGATTAAAACATTTGAGAAAGGCAAAAGCACACATCTGAAAGAAAAAAATCAAAACCCCTGTCCAACTGAAGAGCATCACTTGAGAATTAGGAAGAGTTCAGCAAAGGAATTTTGTTTCATAACCTTAGGTTTCACAGTTTAGTTAATACAGGTAAGATAATAAAAAACCTTCAGGTTAAGGTTAATGATGTTCTTTAAAGAGACCAGTTTGATATTAGATACATTAGCTGTGTTTTGGGACAGAAAATGTATTTTTTCAGAATACGTTTGCCTGAGAAGGAATCAATTTCATATTTTCTAATGATGTCTCCTAAAAGGCTGTCAAAAAGTTGCTTAAGAAGTGATAAATTAATTCACTTAAAAAAAAAAAGTATCAGACATAAAAGTCATATATTTAGATACATACACTGCTTTTATTTTTTTCTTTACATAGTCAAAGTCTGAGGTGGCAGCTTTTTTACTGCACAAAGAAAATGAAAAAAGAATATCAGTCTGTAGATTAAAAAAAGGAGTCCATAAAAACTAGGCAGGGGAAATATTTACAAAGTAATAGATGCCCATGTATGCAACTGATTCTAACAAATCAACTTGTTAGTCAAAATATTATGGTATTGCTTATGTGAGGGGATGTCCTTGCACAAGGTGGTTGCTGAGAGTCTACAGCAATTGCTCAGCACCAGATCTGCAAAGAGTCTGGCTGTCAATTCTGCCTTATCACAATTACCTATTGCGTACCTGCTATGCAAGGCACATAGTACAGGGAAACACTGATAAAACTAATGTTTGCTTGCAAAAAGTAGCATTGGGTCTAATGGGGCACTAGCAAGTTTCTATCTTGCCAAGAATAATTATCGGTAGGTTGTTTTCTAAGGAAATAGCAGGCTTACGTGCCAACCTTTAATACAGCTGAAGGCAAGCTAAGCATTCACCACCATTCCTTAAAAACAAAAAGCAAATACACAGCTGCTGAAGAATCTGAATAATACAGGAGGGGGAATGGCATTCAGAGTAGGGCTACTGGGGGGACGGACACACGGTGCGTGCCAGAAAGCTCTACTTAAGAGAAGGCAAAAAAGATAAGGGCAAAAGCACAAAGCTTGAGGAAGTAACATAGTGAAGCCCTGAGAAAAAACAACAGCATGAATGGTTCATTTTCTGGTTTTTGCCTGACTGGCTCTTTATGTTGCGGGCAAGGAATATGCCTGTGGAGTGATTAAATCAAATAAATCTTCTCTTATTCTGTGAGTAACTAATAAGTCAAAGATATACCTATTTCATAATGAAAACAGCCACTCAACTGGAACACAGTACTGTCCGTACTTCATAATATTGCCACATGAACAGGAAAGAAGGTAACAGACAGTGCATTCCTCAGATCTTAAAGGTTTTGTATTTCTTCTTCCTTAAACAGGATTTCTATATGACTAGACAGAACCAACTACCTTATTAGAACAGATACACTATGGGTTGTGATTTGTTGTAGAACCTTGACATTTTCAGTCTTAAAATTATTTGTTCATATCTAGTATACCTTGAAGAATTAACCTGATGCTCATGTCTCAAATGGATTCAGTTCTTTTAACACTCCTTTCATTATCAACTACACCAGTAAACAGGCTAATTACCTCTAGTAAAGCCTGATATGTTGTATTTGGTGCATGAGAGACTGTCTCTTTCCAGACTCTTCTTCCTGTCTCTTCTGTTCAATTCTTGTACGCTTTTTTTATTTCAGTCATTCTCAAACTACTGATTGCTTCCAGGATTTTCCCTGAGCTTCAAGAAGTAAATTCTATGGAAGCATGACATAAGTTTCAGTTAATTGCCTTGATTCCCATAGCAAGGTATTAGGACTAAGGACAGCTTCTCTTTTCCACATACCTACTGTTCTCAAACTCTCCTGGCAACACTGCTAAGGATTTATTAAGTTATACAATGACCAGTAAGAAGTTGCTGGTATGCCATTGCAGCAACAAGCAGGCAAAAGAACACATACATTTCATCATAATGACACTTAGCTTTCCAAATCTGTGGGTCTGTTAGCTTCTTTTATTATCAGGAGAGACACACACACACAAGATCCCACCTCGACCACATGTGGTGAATTGATGCATACACACCATGTGTCTGACGCCTCACTGAAGAGCTGGGTTTACTGTGCATTTGTAGAATGGGTGTCTTACTGAAGTGCAACATAGATGGCATTTTTCCAAAGCCAGCATATTTACCAAACAGCATATTCACACAGGTAGGTCAGTTTATAAGCTGGAGAAACTGTTCTTGTGTGCACTAGTCACACTCAAGCAAACGCAGCAGCCTGGGACAGGTCATTACCATAACCAGAACAATTCCTTCAGCCTGCGGGCCACTCCCATGAAGGACAGTGGCAACATGCATGCCACATGCCTTGCTCTAAGCACTTAGGCCAAGCACTCCCTGCTTTCTCAGATTCAGGACAGAAATTCAATTACTGCTTTAAATGGATAAAAAAATTAAGAAGAAAGTAACATGGGAAAACAAGAATGTTGATACAAATGATACAAATATGATACAAATAAAAATGTGTTGTCCTGGGTTTTACACTGGAGACAGAAACAACCATAAACTGAATTAAAGTTCCTAAAATCTGCTTTCAAATACAGAATATGTCAAGTGCAGGATTTCTGGTCACAAGCCTTGGACACCATTATGGAATAGGTTCCGCAAAACATTAATCTGGAGGCACAGAAAAAAGAGAAGGGGAAGTCTTACCCCTGTGGTTCTTGGACGGTCTTGTTTTCCACTTTCTGTTCACACTCTTTTATCATAGAGCTTAAAATAACCTAAGACACATAAGGAAGAGATATAAATTACTTTTTTTCGTTCACATTAGCACTTCATATGAAATCTACTCCGCAACTAATTCTGACATTAGCAGAATTGTTTAAGAAGTTTCTTTGTTATTTTTCAAGTGCATTTAAATTCCAGCTATCTGATAATTCCTTGTGGCTAGAAACAACAAAACCATTCAAAATACTTCAAGGAAGAAAAGATTTTTGAAATAGTTACAGGAATTCAAGACTCCCTCCTGCTTCCCCTGGCTTTTTAAAATAGAGCTAAAGCAAACTCACTTCTGTGACACACCTCCGTATCTTCCTTTTTTCAAACAATACTTTTTATTTATTAGCAAATAACTTTGATATATGTTCACCCTCCCTTTATTTTCCTTTAATGCTGCAATTGCTTGAAAACTCTCTAAAGGTTTCTGCAGAATATTTAAGACCAAAACCACCCCCACATTGACATTTATACATTGCTCCAGCATACAAAAAACAAAGGAACGCTTCCCAATAGCAGGTTCTGAAAGAAATTACACAATTCATTGGACAGGTATATAACTCCCTGCCCTGCCCACAACACTACTGTTTTAACGCATTAAGACAAACGCATCTGAACCACTTAGGCAAAAACACTTGCAATTGCGGAGTGTGTAGGGAGTGTAGTGACAGGACAAGGGCTAACGGTTTTAAGCTGAAAGAGGGCAGATTTAGATTAGATATAAGGAAGAATTTTTTTCCTGTGAGCGGGGTGAGACACTGGCACAGGTTGCCCAGAGAAGCTGTGGATGCCCCATCCCTGGAGGTGTTCAAGGCCAGGCTGGATGAGGCTCTGAACAACCTGATGTAGTGGATGGTATCCCAGCCCATGGCAGGGGGGTTGGAACTAGGGGATCTTTAAGGTTCCTTCAAACCCAAACCATTCTATGATATATACAATAAAGGAAAAAACCTAATTTCAATCTCTAAAATACAGATCTGTCACTAATGGTTACTACCAAGTGATAACTATTTTAAAATGTATTTATATATATAAAATAGCTGTGTTTTGTCAAATCTCTATTAGACATTCATTATACTGATAAGACGTGGCCTGGTCTGCAGGTCTACACCATTGTTCCCTCTTTCTCCAAAAGTATTACTTCAAGATTTGACACAATTTAGGTAGCAGGTGTTATATACCCTTGAATGTTTCAGAAAGCAGAATTCAAACCTGCGTAAAAGTCTCAACCAGACTACTAATCTTACTGCTAAATTTACAGTCATTTGCATAAAATATTATGCAAGTACTTAAACTCAAGAGTACAGAAGTACAAAAGAAATGCATTCAGAATTCCAGTGAAAAAGCAAGGTATCAAAAGAAAACTGAAATTTCTAGGCACAGTGGCCATTATTTTTGTTACTTAGCATTTCTACCTGTGCACTGGAGCACTTATACATTTTTGTAGATTTATCTGAATCTAGATGTTCGAAATATCAACAATACGAAGCCTTGATCAAGAGGGAGAACAGCTCAGCAAGGACCCAGAATCATCTGAATACTGGGATGGAGCCTCCATCCATTGCACAGCTCCTTCCAGGAAGGCTCCATAATTCTTGGATGAAGTGGAGCAATTCTTCCCTCTTCCCCAAATTAATTTGTCTTAAAGTTCAGGGTGAAACAGACAAAATGTATAAATATAGTATCATACTGCAGTTTTAAATTATGATATTGCACATACTGCTCACACCTATTCCCTTGAGTTCTCTTTGTTTGGTCATAGGAATGACTATGAAATCATTTAGACCTCCTTTTGAGAGAGATATTTTAGAGATCTAACTCTATGTTTAAAGACATTTAAGAGACATAACATGCGCTTAAGTATTAGAAACAATACTGTAGATGGACTAAATATTTTTATCAATTACTGATTACATCTCACTATCATGCAACTCAAAATCCAATTATTTCGAAGGGAAAAAGAAGGCAAGTGGAGAAGGGACTTGACATGGAATTAGAGATGCTGGCAACATACCATAAAAGTCTGCACAATGTGAAATGTATATTCTAAAGATGAGAGGGTCTGGCTTAAATGCCCAACTTGCACTTTTGTTTATACGAATTAAAGGAAAGCAAATATGAGGAATAAGCGGTAAACACTGCCCAATGGGATCACAAGCCAATTCCATAAACGTTACATTTCTAAGATGAGCATAAACTCTGTACTGATGTTAGAGTCACAAAAGCTAAGGCTCTGTGAATGAGAAAATGTGTTTGTGTAACTGATATCCCATTTGAACTGTGAATAATGTCACAGTGACCAAAATAATGAGAAAATAATTAATTCTGTTTATGCAAATGTCTAACTATTTGAAATGGTAAATCACATTTACTTCAGAAAACATAGTTTTAAGACAGAAGGCTTGAAAGACAGACACTAAAACTAACAGGGGTCTCTATCATCGTGCCTACAAACATCCTGTCGTAGCAAGGAACTCATTAAGCACCAGATTTCTACATTTCTGAAGTTCTACTGTTGTGAGTTTTCTAACCCACTGAATCAGGAGTAAATATTTTTAAATTTATGTTTCTCTCTGGCTAAAAAAATAAAGCACTTGGCTTCATGCCTGAAGCCAATTAATCACAGTGATGCAGAATGTGGTAAGGAAGGATTAAGAACTGTATTTATTTACTTTTTTAAAATCCTATTTAAGTGCTCCGTTCCTTTTTGGGCTACAAGACTCAAACTCAACCAAATAAGCTCTTTTGTTCTAATTCAGGGCATCTTTCGAACTGACTATGCCCTTAAACCTTAGAAGTTGCACTAACTACTATACAAAAATGAAGTATTAGTACTTTATCAGTTATCCCATTAGTGAATATGATGGAACAAAGAAAATTAAACTAAAGCCAACTTTTGCCTACTGCAGCTTTCAGATACAGTCTTAGACTTCCCAAAACACAAAACATCTCCCAGTTCACTCTGAATACAGAGGATCAACAATACCAGATCTCCCCCAGTGCTGCCTGTAGTAAGGAAGTGCAATTCTGTTGCCTTTGACTGATGATCAGGTCGCCACTGTCCCTTCTGACTCAGTCCTCTGAAGTCAGATTCTTTCCTTTCAGGTCTGAAAGGTCCTCAAGTCAATTCACCTCCAGTTCCACATGTTGTAAATTACATAAAATAATAATATACAGAAAATAAAAGAATAAGACTATAGGCTATTAGACTGAAAATATAACTGAAAGAAGGGACTTTGTTACCAAGTATAAGAGCTTAGAACTCCTAGAAGCATATAGTCATCTCAAATAACTTTTGCAAACGTAATATTTTTCTCAACTACAAAGTAATCCATTAAAGTGCAGTATTAACCTTCAAAATCCAGAAATACATTCCTTTGTACATTTTGATTACATTTTTCCTCCATCATTTGATATGTTCATACTGTCAAGATTTTCCCAACATGCAATTGAACTACGTCTCTCATTTTCTTCTCCTGACTTAATATCTATGTGTTTCAATCTCTGTTACTGTCCATCCTCTTCAAGTGTTTACAAAAATGCGCACAGACACATGGCCAAGATTTTCAAGTTTCTCAAGTCAGCTTCTCCTGCTAACTCTTCTCTTTTGCTACTCTCTCTAAGCTCCTTCTACCAAAGAAGATCTTGTTAGCTCCCATGTTGTCCTGTCTGCTTGTTATAACCTGCTTTTTACAATTCACATAATCACAGAGTGGTTGAGGTCAGCAGGGGCATCTGGAGGTCATCTGTGGTCCAACCCCCTGCTTAAACAGGGCCATCTGGAGCTAGTTGCCCAGGACTGTGTCCAGATGGCTTTTGAATATCTCCATGGATGAGACTCCACAACCTCTCTGGGCAACCTGCCCCAGGGCTCAGTCACCCTCACAGTGAAAAAGTGTTTCCTGATGTTCAGGGTGAACCTCCTGTACTTCGGTTTGTAGCCATTGCCTCTGGGCACCACTGAGAAGAGCCTGGCTACATCCTCTTTGCACCCTCTCTTCAAGCATATATATACACTGATAAGATCCACCCCCCAAAGCCTTCTCTTCTCCAGGCTGAGCAGTCCCAGCTCTCTCAGCCTCTCCTCCTATGAGAGATGCTCCAGTCCCTTTATCGTCTTTATGGCCCTTTGCTGGACTCTGTCCTGTAGGTCCATGCTTCTGTACTGGGAAGCCAGAACTGGACATGGTAGTCCACGTAAGAAATGCATCCCATGTATTTCAGGACTACACCTTCCTCATCCTTGCCTATCATCTCTCTCCTGCATTCTACCAATTTTCATCTGCATTTCCTTGGATATATTGTGGCCACTGATTTTAAGCGTATCCTTGTTTTGATGAAAAAAAACCCTCAACGCTATGTTTTGACACCACTTAGGAGTATCGCTCCATACGTTCTGGATTTAAAAACCATTACATTTCAACTTTTGCTGCGACCTGCATCTCATACTCAGTTAACATAGCTGCTCACCTCATGCTCTGGCGAGAGATGTTCCATGTCAGTTCGTAAACACTTAAGTCCTGGTAAAAAGTGACTGACCATTAAATCCTCTGAAATAACTAAAACCCAGGTTGTTAAGGTATTATAAGGATTGTCTTCTGAAATTAATACTTTTTTTTTTTTTGGTCTTCTGATAATGTTATTTTACTGAATACAGGGACAAACTACAACAGCACAACCCAATAAAATAGAACAGCATTTGACACTTCATGACTAATAAAAAAGCAAAAAGATCTTAAACTTATTTAACTTAATGTATTTCATACATCCATACCATTCTTTTAATAGTTTTTCTTAATTTACTGGTTAAGATCACAGGCTTTGTTTTTGTACCTTTTTTTTTTCCCAAAGTATCTATCACTTCCACTGTATTGGGTCTGTCTGAGATGGAGTTAACTTTCCCCATAGCAGCCCTCACAGTGCTGTGTGTTGCACTGGTAGCTAGAAAGGTGTCGATAACACCAGTGTTTCGGCTACTGCTGAGCAGTGCTCACACAGCATCAAGGCTGTCTCCCCAACACTCCCCCTTCACCAGCAGGCTGGGGGTGGGCAAGATCTTGGGAGGGGACACAGCCAGGACAGATGACCTCAACTGACCGAAAGGGTATTCCATGCCACATGACATCTGCTCAGCAATAAAAGCTAAGAGAAAGGAGGAGAAAGGGGGCATTCATTTTTATGACATTAGTCTTCTGGAGCAACCGCTATACATACTGAGGCCCTATTTGCTGGGAAGTGGCTGGACATTGCCTGCTGATGGGAAGTAGAGAACAAATCTTGTTTTCCTTTGCTTCTGCACATAGCCTTTGCTTTTTCTTTATTAAACTGCCTTTATCTTGACCCATGAGGTTTTTTTTGCATCTTATTTTCTCCCCTCCCTGTCCTGCTGAGGAGGGGAGCAATAGAGCACCTTGGTGGGTGGGCATCTGGCAAGGTTAACCCACCAGATCTACCTTCTGTGAAAACTTCTTTTTTTATACTGAGCAGATCAAGCTTTACATCACACATGCAAAGACAAACTTAGCTATTTCTGAAGTATTAATCTTCTCCCCCCAGCAGAGAATTAACAGCTAAACTTCCCCTAACAAAGAAAAGGATACAACAACAGGAAAGAGCACTGTAGGCTTCAAACAGGTGGGTAGCGATATCCAGTCTCTTCGAATCCACAGACTGCTGGTTGTTGACCAAGGCTAACTTGTGCAAGTGTGGAATAACAACTGTAAAAGTAAATACTGGAATAAGTATTTGAAATTGCTTTCCGTAGACTTATTTGGCATTAAACAATTGCTAAGTGGCAATCACAGGCACCTGAAGCATCATACATCAGTGTGGAACAAGAACTGCAAATAATGGCTTTTGATGGACTGCCCTTGTGGATTTAACTGACTGACTCAAACTTGAGATAAACTGTGGTAACACCACCTAGAATAAAAAGGTACCTCAGAGTACCTTTGAAATAGTAACAGTTTACAGAAAATATTTTGCAATATTATTAGTCTCCTACTGCTAAAGTTGTCTACAATATGCTTCTATGTTATAAATACAGCTGATAAGCTAGTGACAGATATAGATGAGAAAACTTAAATGACTACAGAGGAAGCCTATCTAATGAGTTCAGCCTGCTAAACAACACACCTGCAGCTGGGAGGCATGACAGCTCCTCATGTTTTGTTTACAACTATCTTTAAGACAGTAGCAATTTTGACTTTGCTCTTCCACATGCTTTACATTTCAGGGCCATGAAAAAAAGCTGTTTTGTTAATCTGAGATGCACTTACACTTAAGATGTATGGAATACTTGAAATTTATATGCCAGCAGGGGGTGAAGCAATGATGGAGGGGGTGAGAGGAAGGCATTTTACATGTCAAGTAATTAAAAAAAAGACAACTTCAAATTTGCTCTGCAGCAAAGTGACCAGTCCCTGCCAGCTCTGAAATAATTCATCATCATGCGCTGGTGTTCTGTATACACATCAGTATTAGGTAAAGTCAACCATGCGCTGGTGTTCTGTATACACATCAGTGTTAGCTAAAGTCAAAATTTTATTAGTGGAGTCTTAAATACTGGGACATATTGAACTCTAAACCCAAGAGTTTTCAGCAAATTTTTTATAAAGACAAAAAAAAAAAAAATCAAGGCAACCAGCATACTATTAGCTTTGGGACAGAAAGAGGAAGACTGCATCTTCCCACTGATGCAACTTACATTCATCTCTAAATCTGGGCTCAGCATTAGGTCCGACTCTTCCAAATGTTTTTATGATTTCTGTATGTAAAGAATGTTGGTCTTGATACTGAGGGTCATCCAGGAAAGATGCCAGCTGCATTTTCTTTTTTTCCAAAAGCTTAAATATTCACAGAGAAATAAAAAGTACACAAAACAATGAAGATGCTAGAAACCATTATGGTCAGTTCAGAGTATGTCTAAAATTCTCTGTATTTCAGGTGATAAGCCTTGTACCTTCTGTTAATTAACAGTTTTTTCTGACAGGATGTTCCAAACTCTTCAACACAGTTCTACATTTTAAAGACTCTTAAAGATAGATCAGGTTAAAACACTGTTAACTATAGACAGGTGCTTCCATATAGCTCGTCTTTCCTCCTGAGGTTTCCTTGGTTGTGATACATTTTCTACCTGCTGCTAAAATTTCCCTTTTAATATCTTTGGAGTTTTCCTGTTTAATTAGAACTGAATTAACTATTTTTTTGGTAACATATCTCAACTAGTATGCTGAAAAATTTTCTGAGAGATGCAAAAGTAAGCATCATAAAATCAATGGAATAAAAAAGATTTCGTCAACTAAAGGCTACTGAAAACACAAATATATCTAAGATGACGTACGTATTTAATTTGCACTCAAAGCTGTAAAAATAACATTTTCTGATACATTTTGGAAGGTGATATCACCTCCGTACTCTAAGGCTTATTATAATTAGTGCAATGGATACAGTAATTTTTGTGTGGGAACAAAACAGTTTTCTTCCCAAATTGATTATAGGCATGCATTCCAAGCTACAAAATTGTAACTTAACCATCTTCCAAGTACTTGTGAGTCATCACTGACTTCTTACTTAGATTTCCTCAAGCACATTCTTTCAGAATATGTTGAAATTACAGGAAGAATGCAAGCTCTGCAAGAAGCTGCAAGGACTTTAAGAAGAAATTTGATTTTACTGTTATTATATAAAGCAAAATATAGTATTTCTACTGCTTACACAGCAGAATCCTGGATGTCTTTTTCAGAATTATGATCTATTACCAAAGTTTCATCATTTATTAAACAAGGAGGAACTGAGTATCTATAGTATCTTTAAGGATAATTTCAGTTATGTCACTATTATGTCTTTTAATGCCATTTTGGACACTACGGGCTAAACCAGCAGATATGACAGGAACTACAAGAGTCTTGTACCCTTCTGAAGTAGCTGGAAGCCAAGCAGGATATCCTAAAGCACCTAAAATGCTACAATATACTTATGTGGAGGTAACTATATACCACCATGACATTTTGGTTCGCATTTTAAAGCAAAGCAATTTTATTTGGAAATAATGGACTTGTATTTCTCAACTGTATTGGAGAATGTTTTAAAAGAACATTTTCAGCATGGGATTTCCCATCTTCTAGAACAGGCCTCTCCCTCTACATATCTGTTTTCCTTTGTTTATATTTGGGTTAATATTTAGAAGGAAATGGTTTATTTAGTTAAAAGAGGGCTGGTTTGTTTCCAAAAAAAAACAAAAGAAAAAAAAAAGACCATTGCAAAACTGGAAGCCATGTTGGAAGAGGATACAACAAAGGAAGAAATAATAAAAAATTTATAAGCTGCATTTTTTTTCCCTCCAAGTTCATTAATAAATTACTGGATTTCTGGATTTATAACAAAATAATCACACACTTCTTATGCTACAAAAACAACAGCCTCACAACAGGGTCTTACCTCCCTCTGAGTAACAGTTTCCATGATGGTCCCAAAAGCAGGAATTGTTGCAATCCTTACTGAACTACAACAGAAAAGTAGAGTCTTTAAGATGTATTAAACATTAAGAATACAATTAATTAAAAATAAAGCACAATTTAAAAATTAGTACTTTAACTTACATTAGTTTCTGGTAATGACAAAACAAAAAAAGCAGACCAGGAAAGACAGACAGGATTAACTCAAGGTCTCAATCTGAAACTCACAATTCAGGATCACTGGACAAGGTAACAAGGGCCGGAGCAACCCGCTTGTCAACTAAGGCTTCACTCATGCCTCGAAGAGTCAGCTGTAAACCAGTCAACATGCAATAAAAAATGGTTTGGTAAACTTGAAGAACTGGGTTAGCTGTGACTGAGGATGGGCAGGCAGACTCTTGGGTTTTGTCTTGGTTTAGTCACCCATACAAGACATTAAAACGATTAAGACTCTGTTCATGCTATAGCATTTATTAGCAACAACCTGTTAGTGAGATTAGCAAAGCATCCCTCCTTAGCTTGAAAGAAATATCACATCAGAATGTCCAGGAAATGAAGTACTATGGTTGTCTATCACAAATTAGATACAACTGAAACTATTTTGCATTTCAGTAATGCAAATAATATTTAATTTTGCAGTAGTAAAGCTGATAGCATTACAGGAAATACTAATGTCCGGCTTTCTGCTAGAAATGTAAACAAATTTCAAAACTGAGAATATGATTAATTTAAAAAAAAAAAAAACCCAAAATGAAGTAACATTGATTTAAGTTTTCTATTTCAAGTCTATTCAGCACTTTTATCCAGTTTAGTTCTAGATGTTGCAGTAAACCCTTTTATTTACAAATAAGTGATTTAAAAGTTACATTTGTTTAAAACTAATTCAATTTTTGTTCAGCTAGAATAAGAAACAGAACTGATGGTTATTTCTTCTTAAGTATTAAGAGGGATGCTAGGTATGTAAGACAGTCAGGAAACTTACATTTCAGGGTCACTGGAGAGAGTAATGAGAGCAGGAACAACTCTCTGAGCTACTAGAGTTTCATGTACCCCCTTCACCAACAGCTGAATGGTCGGAGCAGGGGGGTATCACAGGTGATGCACGGAAAGAGCGAGCACAGTACCATGGGAAGAAGAACGGCACAACCAAGAGAGAGAGAAAGAAAAAACACAAAAAGCAAACCAAAATTAGAAGCTAAGCAAATACTGCTACACTAGTGTTTCATATATGCAAAGGCATGAAGAAAGCTGAAGTGGTCTGTCAATCAGCATAAACCTGAAAAATTCAACATATGATGATGTTTTCTGAATTTTCAGCTATTTTAAAACTTGAACTCTCAAAAGTTTAGCACATAATTACGTACTATAATTCAAATACTAATATAATTATGTATTATAATTATACACATAATGATGTATAACGAAATATTCAAGTGATGCTAATTGGACTTTGACAGTTTAACCTAAATGCTGTTCCTAACTCAACAGAATGGTAGTTGTTACAGTAGGTGGCTGTCACATGCAAAATAGATGTCTTTAGCTAGGCCAAACACATGTAGTCTTGCCGCACTGAGTGATATCTTTCAGTCCTTTTACAATGTGACAAACAGCACCTTCCCAGATGCCACTAAGCTTTCCTCAACGTCCTTCGGAATTATTTTAGATATCACTCCCATACAAGCAGTGAAACTTGACAAGTTTCCCTTGCTGGTCTGTGCAGGCAGAAAATGGAGAACCCTTAGATTATCCATGAAATGTATTTCACCAACTCTTTTTGCAAACTAAGGAAGAGATGTCTTTGTTGGAATAAATCCCAAATGTTAAAAACTGAGATGACAGTGAAAGTTATTACCCTTAAATATGTGAAAATTGTTCGAATTTAGATGTCCCCAGTTGATTTTTTTTACATTACTTATGTAGCTATACATAAGCACACATTTGCTGCACATGTAGCAGATGCCCTTTATATGTTTTCTACGTATGAAAATCTACAAATTTTCAAATATGACAAGTTCCAAACTCTCTCCATATTCAGCAAAACGGGTTTTTTTTATTTGCATTAATAAAAAAGGGAAAGCCTTGATCTTTCCATTTTGTATCTCATGCAAAGAAGTGTGTATATATTTTCTGGTTTTAGGAGATAAACATAAAAAGCTTATCAGTAGTTTCTGTGAGAAATTTGAAGTGTCTTTTTAATATTTAACTATATTTTAATTACTCAAATTACATAATGAACACAAATTAAATTCTATGCTTTTTTCCCCCAGCAGCGTAACGTGAGAACATGTTAGATCCATAGGGCTAGGGGAAAGCAGTAGCGTCAGTATATTACGCAGTACTAAAACCAGGCAATATTTACACCCTCTAACTAGAGAAGGTTTTACACTGTCCTATTTGTTTGAGCATTCCTGTTTTACCAGCTCTGAACCTAAAACTCAACTTAAGTAAATTGTGAAAGACAGAAAGGAACCTGACTATCCAGAAGCCTTCTACAGAAAGAGGTAATTTTTATTAAGCAATATTTGTGTGTGCATGTATGTGCATGCATGCACAGGTGCACACATGCCCTGAACAGACTGTGGCCTTGCAGATAATAACTGGAGAAGGAAGGATGGGGAGAGCATTGTTAAGCTGTGCAAGAAAATATGCATTATTCCTGCAAAGCACCTGGAGGGGGGAAGCTGCAACTTCCTGTATTTGTTATTCAAAAAGTACTAGAAATGTCAGTTCAACTACTAAATTTTAACAGTAATACATTTCAAGATTATTTACAGTGTCAACAACTTAAAATGCTGATGTATTGAGCTTATGGGCTAACTCTTCAAACAGCTTATAAGGACACAGCTCATTGACTAGAAGGATCTTACTCTCATACACAGATTTACCGATTTTCACACTGATGAAAGCAGAGAATACTTACTATTTTCAATTTTTAACGGACAGGGACTTGAGTTTTCTTTACTAATCTCAATTTTTGAGAAAAGCCTAGAGGTAATCTAGTGCTTTGGAAAAAAAAAAGTTTGGGATTTGTATAATTAGCAAACAATTTAGAATGATCTCAGCTTCATGACTATGTGGCCTGCCATACTTCTAATTACGGTAAAGCATGGTAAACAGCATCATTCTGTCTTACAGAAAATAACACATGCTTTATAATTCAAGTGTCATTCTGAAGATAAGTGTTCCTAGCGTTGAACCTAAACAGACCAACAAAGCCTATAACTCAACTATGCACTTCATGTTCAAACCAGAAGCAATCAAATCTGTTTGCATCAACATTCAGTTGGGAAACTACTGACAGAAAACATTAACACAGAAGCAACAGAATCAGCTGGACAGGCAAAGCCCTGCAGCAGCATGTAAGGTCACAGTGAGACACACAACGTAAATTTTTATCCTGTTTTGATTCCTCTAGGTCAGTGTGTGATCGTTGCTTATGCTTATTACACCTTACAAATGGTAGCACAAAGCCTCCTGCCCCCAAAGGAGAGAAGGGGTACCATGGCTCCAAATCACTTCTGTGTCCTTCCAGTCCTTAACAGACGGTAATGGTTTGGTTACACAGTCTGGCAGGCCCAAATCATAGCAGTCTCCGTGCTGATGTACAGGTACAGACCACTGTGCTGCTCAGACTCTTTATAGTTCTCATAGCGCTGTCCTACAAGTGACATACTCTTTATCTTATTATCTAATTGCTGGGCTCTGCCGTTCAGCAGTCTCTGAGATGTCAGATATTCCTTGAATGAAGGAATCTTCCAAAAATAAAACCCGCTACTACCACTTCTTTACACAGGTGACTTCCCAAATTTACATATTGCCATGTACAAATACGTATGCTATGGCTATCAAGGAGGTGGCAATATGATACTATTTTCAAGGGAGAAAAGTGTCTGCAACAAAGTTGCATATGCTTTAGTAAAAACTGAAGTCTACTAGGATAAAAGAAGTCAAATAGCATGCAGGACCACCCAAAAATAATCAACATGCAGTCGAATTAGAAAAAAAACTGCAACCAAGACAACAGCCTGTTGTAACTGAAGTCTTTCGCGTGCTTGGCTAATGCTTATTTTTTTAAAAAAGGCTTATTATTATGATTAAAAAAAAAGCAATGTTCTTGTTAGATTAAAAAAAAACCCAACCACCAAAATGACAACTCAAATATTTTAAGCGTGACCAAAAATTTCCATCTCCCTTTTTTTAAAGGGAGACAGAAGAGACCAAAAAAAAAAAAAAAGAAAAGGTTTGATGTTTTCAACTGAAGCCTCCAGATATGTCTTAATGTGGTTGTTCAGCACTTCATCTGCAATGGCTTGCAGTGTTGCAGTAAAGAACTCTTAACAGTCACGTCAGCACTCTTTTTTCTGAGGAAGACTTGAGATTTGTTTTTACAAGTGGATATAAGGTGGTAGGTTCAGCTAGAGGTCCACTGCAAAGCTATCCAAATGAGTCAAATATGGAAGAAACGCAAAAAAAGAAAGAAATTGACTGGGACAGTGTGATTAGAAACGTCTTTCTAACATGCACAAAAAAAAAAAAGGTTTGCTCAGCAATTGGAGTATGTCCCAGAGTTTCTGTATATGCATTTTTTTAATTAACGCTTGATGAAACAAAGGTATGATGTGGAAGTAAAGGCAAACTTATTAGTTAAATGTAACAGTCTTTACCCTGAACAAATTTATAGATGTTAAGGGAAAGATGAAGCTATCACTATGTGGCAAATAAAGTAATCATAAATTGTTTCAATTTTTACAAAAAATACACAATTTGTTCAATGTACGTTTTGACCAACATATCTGGCACCAATGGAAACTAGTTTGAATTACAATGCAAGTGAATTTTACAATTATACACAAGTCTTGAAAACTTATAACTTGTGAATTAGTCTACTGATGATGTCTTGAATTGCAAAAGCAAATGTTAAAACTCAGAGAGATGCCTGTTTACATTTATCTCAGACCTAAGCAAACACATTCGACAACGTATTTAATTCTGGTTTGAACACAGTTTAGCAATGAAATGCGTTTTCATAATCGGAAAATGTTTTTCAGCATGCAGTGATCAGAATGCAACAATCAAGCAGCAGATCAAAGAACACATACACAGTTACCACGTAAACATCTTGCAAGTGGCTAATGACAAATTGCTCAAAGATGTGGTGTTGAACAGAGAACAGTTACAGAAACAACCACACAACAAGTTCCTGCTCCATCACACAGTACACAACTTAAGCCTTTTGTAATTTTTAAGAATGTATCAACATTATCTGAACCACAGTTTTTAAAAACACACTCTAGTTTTAAACAGGTGTAAAAAAGTTTGGATAACACTTACCTCAAACATTCTAGCAGCTGTACATCGAACAAGAGCAGAAGTATGGACAACTCCATACCACAAGACAGTTAATAACAGCTCATGATAAGCTGGGTTTGCACTAAAAGAAAACAGTTGGGCAATCAAACAAAAAAATACTCCTAAACCCTGAATATGTAGTCTCAAAAACCCTTGCTCAACAAATCTTAAAGTCCAACATTTTTTTCTTCTGAAGGACACACAACATTTATCTCATTCTAAAGCACATGCAACATGTTGGTGTCTAGGAAACAGATTACATTTTGAAGTTTATTTAAAAAAAAAAACTTAGAATGTAATTTTCAATAAACTAGGACACTGAACTGAATGCAAATACATATCTAGAAAACATTATTATAGTATGGAATATAGAAAATTAATTTTGATTTTTTCTTCAGTGACTGATTGTTGTGGGTTTTTTGGTGTTTCTTTTTTACACTTCGGAATTTTTTTGCCACCACAGTTCTAATCTAGAGATTAAAAGTTTAAATGTTGTGAAACACAAAGGAAAAAATGAAGTATACGTTTTGCTGACCCAAAGCATCACTGTTACTAAAATCACAGCTTTTAATAAAAGCTTCTAATGTATTTAGATCTAGTCAACTCCAAGGTAGATTCTTTACCCCAGTTCCACAAAGGAAGCTTTCAGGCTATCAAGAGGAGCATGGGATAGTGAAAGCATAGTCATTACATCTTCTAAGAATCCAACTAACAGCTTGCGGTCTTCTTCCTGAAAGAAGAGCGTACGATGTTGAATGTAGTAGAAGTTTGACGACCTGCAACTACGGAAGAGACAAACTGAACGAGAACTAACTAGATCCAGTCTTTAACAACCTTCTTACGAACTTCAAATATGTGGTTTAAGAACAAGAACCTTTCAAAACAAACACAAGAGAAGACTGTATTTCATCAACTGAGCACAGACTTGTGCATAAATTACCCAAATACTTTTACTGAAGAAACTTATAAGAAGAGTACATAAGCACTTTCATGGTTCCTAACACTTCATGATTGCTCAGTCCACTAAACATTTGTGAGATGATCAAGTATTTATTTTTTCTTGTAAACCACGTATATGCCACTCCATAACTGCTGGTTACTGGATGATTAGGTAGTATCATTTATGAAGTGTTTATTTTACTACTAGGTAACACTAAAATTTTAAGACTCCAACTGTGCCCAAAATGGTGATCTACCTGCTTATCTGTTTCACTAAATTTTGCAAATTTATGTTTGCAGGGGTCACAGTTAAACGGCCAAGAACCCATTTATAGAATAACATTCATATTTTTGATAAAGCCACATGGCAGTTGTCTATGTCTGAGATTTAGAGTAGTGAAGATGCCAGATATAATTTAAGATTTACTGAATTCACATTTTAACACTGATGAATATCATCTAAATGCAGTAGACAACCTGACTAGAAAACTTGGCTTTTAAATGTGTTTACAGCTGCCCACTTATCTACCTATCTTCAAACCACAAGAGCACTGTAAGTTTTCATGGAGAACAGTAAGGGTTTTTTGATAGAACAATTTTTACATGTTATTATACGTTTAAAAAGGAACAAAAAACCACACCTACCTGAATATAACATGTAAGGACCCCTGTTGCATAGATGGGAACTGTGGCTTTTGTTAGCACTCCGTTACCTGCTGTGGAATCTAACGAAACAGTGAAGAATGTAGGTTTTATATGGACATATATGTATGTATGTGTGTTTGACACATATACTATATATACACATACGGTAGATTTATATGTGTGTATTACAAGTACTATTCACCTTTTTACAGATGCATGAAGAATCTATATATATGCATATAGACACACATGCTAAAATAATGCTCAAGTGGTATTTTGATTTGAGATTTCATTTGTACTTTACACATGCACACAATCTACAACTGCAGAGTTAAGATTAGATTTTCAATATTTCAGAAAGATGACATATTTCCAAACTGCAGTCTGCAAATGTTATTTGAACCAGAGATTGACAGTTTTTTCCCAGTTATAGTTAAGATCAATTTTTATTCATTTGAGTAAAAATCTACTTACCTATGTTTTCCTCAGACAGTCTTAAGATTTCCTGGAACTGTGGTTTTACCTATACAAAGGATGATGAATCCCATGTAAGGAAACCTGTTACCAGTATCAATTAGCTTAGGGAAAAAAATAAGAATAAAAAAACCCAAAAAAACAGAAAAAGGACATTTTGAAGGTACAGAAAGAAAAAAACCTTTGAAAAGCATAGCCAGCTTTTATGAAAATTGAAAGCATGACATAAGAAAGCTAAAATTTCTGTTGAGTACCCCCCCACTGAGGTAGCAGTATTTAGCACTCCTGATACCAAAAGCTGAAGTCTCTTGGAAATATGCTTATTTGGGCTTTAGAGTCTATGGTTTTACAAAACTATATGTAAAAAAAAAAAAAAAGTTTTGTTTTATAATTTCGCTGTCCATGAAGTGCTCTCTTCCAAAATACAGCAGTGATAATCAGTATCACAACAACTTTATAGTTTATAGGGTTCGAAAGATCACTTACAGATATGGCTTTCAAAGATCAGAGACTGGTTTTAATTTCCTCTAGGAGGGCAGCACCTAATGCTAACTCTGTTTTACAATTTCCCGTAAAAATATTTTTGAATTATATTCAGAAGTTATTAAGAAAAATTATATATTTCCTCGATTAAAATGTTTATATATCATCTACAGAAAATATTTCAAGCAGAGAAAGCATTAATTTTAAATTTCCATTCAATTACAGGCTGGAGTACTCACGTACACCACAAACACTGAACAGTATGCTGTTCTGAAGAAAGAAAATAGTTTAATCACTAGAATTAGGATGATCTCTCCCACTGTCTATGCCATTCACAAAGCAAATATGAAGAATACAGTTTAAAAAAACCCCCTTGCTTGTTAGGCAAGACGAGAAGGCTATTCTAAAATGGCTAAAAACAGAAATCAAGAGCATGCAAACAGAGGTTGAAAAATAGTAGGTTTAAATGTACTTATGGAAAAGCATCAGTGTGATATGCAAATAAAAATGGTCGCATAAAGTGTGGGTATTCAGACACACCATAAATATGGAGAATATATATTATCAAGTTACTTTTTTTGGCTTGCTTTATTTAAGGCAATATCTTACCTTAGTGTTTGTGAAAATTTTCCCAAATGTCCTACAAAGTCTCCAGAAAAATCTAGAGAACTCATGGACACAGGCAGTTGATGCTACATTGATCTTGCCAACTATTTCTATAAGCTGTGGTAGCCTGAAAATCAGGAAACAAAAGGATATTAAGCCCTATGCTGATATTTTGCTTCTTTCCAGTTATATTTGTATAGATTTACTGTTTAAGTTAAGAAGTATATATACACACACAGACAGCACTATCACTTCTAATAGAATTATCTACATGTTCTGTACAATTCCTGACCCTTTAAAAAAGGAAGGGTTTAAGTGCCAGGAAAGTGTGACCTATATTTTTAAACATCTGTTACTGCAGAACAGTGTATTTCATGAGACACTCAAAATGCAACAATCTTCACTTGAACAGAGAATTGACCATACTAGTGCAAAGATGAAAGAAACAATTTTTTGGAGCAAGTAGTTATCTGTACATTCTGACAGATAGTTGATATTTTCTGAATAAAATCCAAGTCAACTCAGTATGAAAATTTAAAAGGCTAAAAAAAAATTCAATCTTTTTCTCTTTAATAATTCTTAAATACAATCATACTTTAAAAACTCTTATGTTTAATAACTGTTAAACATAATTATGCTTAAGGACTATTAATTTTGACACATTTTAAAATTAGGAATCACAAGATATAAATTAACTCACAGTTGATTGACTACCCATAGCAAAGTCTCCCAGCCCGTAGTACCCTCATGTTCTAGCTGATAGTCGTACAGTTGCAACAACACTGCTAACTGTTCGCGACTTCCAATGAGGATGGACACATCCTGAAGAGGTGATACGGGTCGGGGAAATCTAGTGACTGCAACAGGAGAGAACAAGTGATCATGAACAAAAGAAGACGAAAATACCTTGGAGGTGATGTCAATAAAGATAGCTAAGAAAGTCTGAAACTCTTTAGCGCCTTCTGTGTAAGGTTATCAAATTGCTTTTTAAAAGTCCGTGAGTTAGATCCAACTCCAAAGAGATTACATAACCCTCACTTAAAAAAAACCACCGGTACAGGGATACTATGGAATTATCACCAGCATGGCTTCACCAAGGGCAAATCTTGCCTGATCAAACTTGTTGCCTTCTATGATGAAGTGACTACATCAGTGAACAAGGGAAGAGCTACAGATGTCATCTGTCTGGACTTCCGTAAAGCCTTGACACAGTTCCCCAAGACATCCTTCCCTCTAAACTGGAGAGATACAGATTTGATAGCCGGACTATTTGGTGGATAAGGAATTGGCTAGATGGTTGCATCCAGAGAGTAGTGGTCAACGGCTCACTGTCCAGATGGAGACCAGTACTGTTTAATATTTTCATCAATGACATAGACAGTGGGATCAAGTACACCCTCAGCAAATTTGCAACGCCACTAAGCTGAGTGGTGCAGCTGACACACCTAGGGACGGGATGCCATTCAGAGGGACCTGCAACAAGCTCAAGAAGTGGGCCCATGTGAACCTCATGAGGTTCAGCAAGGCCAAGTACAAGGTCCTGCATCTGGGTCAGGGCAATCCCCAGGTTGGGGGATTAAAGGGATTGAGAGCAGCCCTGAGGAGAAGGACTTACGGGTACTTGTGGATGAAAGGAACTGACATGAGCTGACAATGTGCGCTTACAGCCCAGAAAGCCAACCATATCCGGGGCTGCATCAAAAGAAGCTTGGCCAGCAGGTCAAGGGAGGTGATTCTCCCCCTCTGCTCTGCTCTCATGAGACCCCACCTGGAGTACTGCATCCAGCTCTGGAGTCCTCAGCACAGGAAGGACACGGAACTGTTGGAGCGAGTTCAGAGGAGGGCCACCAAAATGATCAGAGGGATCAAACACCTCTCCTATTGAGGACAGGCTGAGAGAGTTGGGGTTGTTCAGCCTGGAGAAGAGAAGGCTCTAGGGAGACCTTATTGTGGCCTTTCAATACTTAAAGGGAGCTTAAAGAAAGATTGGGACAGACTTTTTAGTAGGGCCTGTTGTGATAGCAGTAGGGGTAACAGCTTTAAACTAAAAGAAGATAGATTCAAACTAGATATAAGGAAGAAAATTTTTACTATGAGGGTGATGAAACTCTGGAACTGGTTGCCCAGAGAGGTTGAACGTTTCAAGGGATGGGGCATCTACAAGGTCAGGCTGGATGGGAATTTGAGCAACCTGATGTGGCTGAAGATGTCCCTGCTTATTGCTGTGGGGTGGGTGGAACTAGATGGTCTTTAAAGACAACTTCCAACTCAAACCATTCTACAATTCTACGATTCCAAAGAACACAACACAGATTTACAGTAGAGTGACTTGCAGGCAAAGTTTCCTGACTTCTGTCGTTACACTTCAATCATTTAACTGCTCCAACCTTTACATATAAAGCAGTTTTTGACACTCCACACTCCCTCCCCCAACTCCTTAACTATTTGAATTACCAGAAAAGAATAATTTACATGTAAAAAGCAAGACCTCAAAAAAAATTCTAGACCATTAAAATATCTGGAGATGGAAAGCCTGCTATACCAACACTGCTTTTATTATTCTCAATTCATGTCAAGCATTCTTAAAATTATTCATCAATTAAATTAAGCAACAAGAACATAATCTTTCCTACAGCGAAATTAAAGAAAGCAAGCTTGCATTTTCTGCAACACTACTAGATTAGTGCAAAGTACATCAGAATTTTTCCTCCACTTTTGTGAAGGAAGAAACAGTCAGACTACACTGAAGCCTGAAATTATTGAATTCCTTATTTAAGTAGCAGCTACTCAGGGAAAAAGTGCTCATCCTCAAACGACTCAAGTCAGCTGAACAAGTTTTATTACGGTGTGTTTAACATTTTCACATGAATATCGTGCAATATTGTACCACTAGCTACTTTCCAAATTCTCCTTTGAAGCTGTTACGCATTCTTTACATCTTCACACACAGCACTATTATCACCATGTAGCAGGTATTACCAATATCTTTTAAAAGTATTTATAACAGGCGAAAACATTCTACAAGCTGGGATTGCTGATCTTTTAAGAAGAGAAAAATTATGAGAGATGAAATAAAAACTTTTTTTGGGATAATCGGGTCTCTCAAGTGTAGAAAATGGTGGAAAAAAGGAAGCATTACTTAAGGATTTGCTATGAAACACCAATATGAAAAAATATTTAAGAGGCAAATCAGAAGGTAAAACTGTAGTTTTTTCACAATTTGTGTTGGGTATTATGACAACAAAGTATTCCACTGCAAGATCCTCATTGGATTGCATAAAGCTATATCACTGGGCACAAAGAAGCCATTTTGCCTGTAACACTGACAAGTAAATATGGGGGAGGGGAGGAATCCAAAAGGATCCATTTAGCTCTCCAGTTGGAACTAGGTCGTCTTTAGGGTTGTTCAAAATACATAAAGAACAGGTGGATGAGGAAAAAAAGCTTGGGGATGTAAACTTAAATCATTACTGTAGAGACAGCATGGAATAAAAAAATCTAAAGTTTACACATAAATTCTGAAACTTATGTTTATGTAGCAACCTTAAATACACACAAATCCCAAGTAAATGTGGACTATGGACGATTCCTGAAATTCTTCCTTTGCAGTTAGTAGTGATTTGAGATTTGTCCCTGAATTATACTTAAATTCATTAAAACACCACATATCAGAAATTAATGTTTTACCTTCTATTTGTGGTACTTCTCCCTGAAGTTTAGCCTTACTTGTGAAAGGTGCATTCTGTAGCACCAGTGCAAACAGAGAAGGAATCAATGACTGCAGAGCAGACAGATACATGTGGAGCTTATGTTCATCCAAGCCGTGTTCTCCTTCCTGAAACAAACAGTACATTTACTTAAGGTTTTTGGTTTGGATGATCTGTTGCTTAGGCATGTATTCCCTGGCAAGAGATCAACACATTTGTGATGAGCTTCTACACAGAGATACTAATTATGTAGTAATTTATCCTAACCACAAGCTTACTTTGTGTCACTATCCAAATCCTCTTGTCACCCTTAAGACACTTCTGCTCAAAAGATTCAAGCAATATAGCCCTTGGCATTCAGTAGTTCATGTCGATGAACATACTGATATTTTGAAAGAACATCTTCCAGCACATTTTGGAAATGTAAATCCTTTATCTCAGAGACCAATGCATCCAAAGACTGAATGAATTAGTGGCCTGTACTCTGTAAACAAGCATTCTGGTTAAGTGTATTAGATCATTATGAGACACCCTATTTTCCAGAACTTTCCAGATATCTACCAAATCAACTGTGCAGACAAACTAACTCATAATTGCAAACCACCTAACGAAACCATTCAATTCTACTTATTTTTTTGGTTTAATAAATATTGCACTTCATTAGAAATGACCCTGTGAGACGCTTAAAACCAATTAATATATAGGGCAAACGCACTCAGAAGAACACACATCATTTGGTCACAGCCTCAAGCAAGTGTTTTTTGCACTGCACTTTATTACTGAGCTACAAAGCAAGACACTGTTAAAGAAGAATGTGTTTGGTTTAGGGGGGTTTTGATGTTGGGTTTTTTTCCTTCTTCCAAATGACAAGTGAAAGTTATGTAGTTACAACAAGAATTTCCAGAAAAAATTTCCCCCATAGAACATTAAGTATAAATTATTTACATTTTTGTGTTTTTTTAAAAAAGCCTGCATATGTAATAAAGATGCAAAGAAAATTCTCCAATGTAGAAACAGATGAATACATACCCTGAGCAATTTTTCAATTTTATTAAGCAGCGTAGGTATAAGATGGAACTGTAAGTTTCCCAGTTCTGTTGTCCAGGCAGCATAAGCAGGTAAAAAAACCTGATGTGTTGCACTAACTACACGTTCTGAAGGGTCTCCTAAAGCTGAAAGCAGCAGTTCAAAGCCCTGGCAAAACAAACAAAAAACCATCATTATTTTCCTGAAATTTATGCTAAAGTTTCCCACACAAAACATACAGATGAGGAAAAGTTTATGATCTATTTTTAGAACTTTACACTAATAAAAATAAAAAAGGTAGTACATGGAGGCCGTTCAACAGATATTCCCACTACATCTACAAAGGTAAACAGTAGGTTGTTCAATGATCCTGCTAGTATTTCTCTACAGTTAAGTTATCAGAATTAATACAAACACATTTTACCACTCTGCCTTCAAAAACAGGATTAGTAGTTCTTAATTTTCACTTATCTGAAACATTATTAGGCAGTATTAAGTTGAACTACAAGTAGGCTTTGTTGTAGTATACAAATCTCTGTTAGCAAGTGATGATATCAAATTGGCTAACAGTAGCAGGTGGGCAATGAAGTGGTACGTTCTTGAAGGCAAATTATGAATTATTAGCGAAGCTTCTGTGTAAGGCTTATACCCGAGGTTCTAATGATACTTGTAAGTACATGTTTCCTTTTTGGTCTTGGTGATACAATAAAATCTACATTCATACAAACCATCAAAATTTTTAAAAGTATCTGGAAAGATTTGATATAAAAAAATCCATGAAATTATGCATCTCCCTATTCATCAAATAATGACAGAAGACATTTTATACATACAGAACCCAAACCAAATTATACCTGTTGATATTTGTCTGGATCATCAATATATCCCATAATGATGCCAAGGCTTTTGATCACAGCTTCTCGTACCAGATCTGCCTTATCTTCCATTAACATTTGCTGCAGCATGGAAAGTACTAACGAACTACGAATTTCCTTCTGTTTGCAAACAAGAAACATCCTTGTTAAATTCAATGAAACAAGAAATGTGAGCTTATAGCAATTTTTATAAATAATCTGCACTCCTATTAACACTCACAAACAAAATCCCTTCCTCCAAGCACAAATCCCTTCATGAATATTACACATTCCAGTTTTCACAATAGAAGATGGATGAATATAAAATGTCAGTAGCCTCATTAGAGAGCCTTTTGTCCTATTAACCACAGAACTCACGTCCTTTAATTCATAAGGAACCAAAAATAACTAGCTGCAAAAATCCACTATTGGTCTAGACTTAAAACAGAATCTTTAATCAATGCATGGCTAAATTACAGAAGTGGGTTTTAATTTGGGTTATTTTCCTCTCTCTCTGAAGCTTCAAATTCTAGTTTTCCACTGACTAAATTTTGCTGCTTCTGACTGGCAGCACTCTTGATGTAACATTCCACAGTGTCTGAAGAACTCTATTATTGAGTGCCAATTATTTTTTCAGAGATTATTTCCTTAATTGATCCTAAGTATCTTTACTTCATCTTTACAGAAAGATGAGTTTTTTCAGAACACACTGTTTTTGAAGACATTTTACAGATAGATCGACCTGTATTCCTTTATAATAAGTTAACTCCTCCTTAATGGGATTTATTGGATCTCACATATGATATAAAGTAGAAGACAATGTGACTGTTTATGTATAACATACAGCCTTGGGAATACTTAAAATTATAAAGGATGTTTATATTACGCAGTAGATTTTCACCTTGCTTTCACTAGCAATGTATTTAGAGTTAGTATCAATACTTACTGGAAGGTAAGGTGCTAGAGCTCCACAGGATTCTGCTACCAGTAGCCGTCTCTCTGGGTATTTGTGGTTAATCTGGTAAAGAGAAACAGAATGGCTATTTGCTTTGCAGCAACCAATATTCAAAATGTGGTTAGAATGAACTGCAGCAGAGGGATATGTTTGCATCTCTTAGCTAAACACTGACTGTGCCCGTAGGAGTTGCATATAGGTTCTAAGCAGCCTCAAACTCTTGCACTGAGGAATATAGGCAAGGCAGATACAACCTTCTCTAGTTGTCCTAGAAAACACCGCTTATAGCAAGAGAAGAATTTGAGAAGCATATATGTATATATAGTAAAAAGAAAGGTGGAAAGCGACATATGGGCTGCTGTACTCTAAAGAATACGAGTAAATTCTGAGCTGGTATATCATGAAATATTTTGTCTTATGTAGCTCTTCAGGAGTGTCATTCCTCTAAAAACTACACAAGTGCCCTCTAGCGCTCTGAGTCAATCAGTGTAGCACAGCTGCCTAGGTCTTGCTGAGCAATCGGGGTCAAAGACACGCGTACTAAGCCAAAAAGTATTTGCATGCTGTTGAAATTCTGCTCTTGAGTCCAGCATAAACATGTTGTGCCTCGACAATGTGACTAAAACTAGTTTTCATTCCCAAGAACCTTCCTGATCTTGTGCTACCTCCCCTTTCCACTCAAAGGCTGTTCAAAAATTCTGCCTTACAGATTTAATACTGATATTTCTGAACCAAGTTTGCAACCTGGTGGAGTCAGCTTTGTAATGACCAGTTTTAATGGCTGTGCAATGAAACATAAGATATGTTTCGATACACTTTGTGAATAAAAAATTTTAGGGTAAAACAGTAAGAGGAAAATGTGAATAGTTTGATCCTGTCAGATAAAACAGGATATGCATGTGGTGCAACTATTTACTGCACTGAGGGAGCTGGCTGATGCAATTGCAAGACCACTCTTGACAATCAGTGAAGTGTTGTGCCAATAGGGGAGGTTCCTGAGGATGGGAAAAAAGCAAATGTCACTGTTATCTTCAGGAAGGGTAAGACAGAGGATCCAGTGAAACACAGGCCAGTCTGCCTCCAGTTCCTGGCAAGGTGTTGGAGCAATTAATCCTGGAAAGCACTTCCAAACATATGAAGGAAAAGATGGTGGTTGGGAATAGTCAGCATGTACTTATATAGGAAAAACCATGCATGATCAACCCGATAGCTTTCTGAGAGGACTGGCTCAGTGAACACACGGAGAGCAGTAAATACCCTTAATCTTGACTTCAGCAAGACTTTTGATACTGTTTCCTGTAACATCCTCATTCACAAACTGATCAAGTATGTGCTAGGTAGGTAGGGACAAAGAAGTAGATGGAAAACTGTCTGAACTAATCATAGGCTCAAAGAGTTGCAGCTAGGGGCCAGTCCCCACTAGTGCACCCCAAGGGTTGATTCTGGGGCCAATATCTTAATTAATGACCTGGATGACAAGACAAAATGTACCTCAACCAGGTATGCAGATGACAAAACTGGAAGGAGTGGCTGATGTACCCAGCTGGGTGTATTGCCATTTAGAGGCACCTCAGCAGGCTGGAGAAATGAGCAAATGGGACCCTTATGAAGTTCCAGAGAGGGAAGTTCAAAATCCTGAACCTGAGCAGAAATAATTCCCAAGCACCAGGACAGTCTGGGGGCCAGTTTAGGAAAGAAGGATCTGGGAGGCCTGACAGATACGAAGCAGATCCAGGAATGCATTTCTTCTAGCAAGGAAGACCAATGGCATCCTGGGCAACACTAGGATAAGCATTGCCAACAGGTAAGGAAAGTGATTATCCCTCTCTACTCAGCACTGCTGAGACCACATCTGGAGTGCTGTATACAGTCCTGGGCTTCCCAGATGCAGAAACAAAGACACATTGGAACCAGTCCAGCAGAGAGATGTGAAGATGATTAAGAGATAGGTATATCTGATACATGGGGGGAGGCTGGGAGAGCTGGGATTGTGTGGTGCTGAGAACAGAGAGCTCAGGAGGGATCTTATCTGTACATATAAATATCTGTACCTATCTGCAGAGAGGTAAAGAACACAGAGGTGCCCAATGAAAGGACAAGAGGAAATGGACACAAACTCAAATATGGGAAAATCTGTTTTACTGAGACGGTGGCCAAACCTTGAAACACATTGCCCAGAGATGTTCCGGAACTTCCATCCTTGTACATATTCAAAATAGACTGGACTTGGTCTTGAGCAACCTGTTCTAGCTGACTGTTTTAAGCAGAGGGCTTGGACTACAAGATGTTCAAAGGTCCATTCCAACCTCAGCCATTCTGTGATTCTCTCAATTCTACTGGCTTAGGAAAAACTACAGATGAAGACACAATAATAAATCAACTTTGGACAACCTCTTACCTTGATTTTATTTACACATCACACTGAACAATGCACTCTGACCACTGATGTGCTATTAGTGTTTTCAGCTTTCTCACTGTTCTGATCTGAAATCACCAAGAACCCTCTCAAGAATGAAGTGTGTCAAAGATCATTTGAACGAGACTCAAATGAACAAATCTGTGCCTCAGGACTAAACTGAAGTCTCAAGCATGGGAGAACCTTCTTTGAGTGGGTCTATCATTACTTTGTATTCATTCATCAGTAGGGCAACTGAAATGTCCATACTTCCAGAAAATATTACATTGAGGAAAAACATTATAGGAACACAACAGGCTGCTTTAATACTTATAGTATCTTTGATTTATGTGCTGTCTTTCCAAATGCAAATTCCCTATTGGTAACAGAGGTACACTTTGCCTTCTGGAGCTCTTCCTACGTGAGGAAAACAGCAAAAACTAGTTTCAACTGGATTAGGTGGACTGGCAAGGAAAAATAAATATCACCTCTAATACTGCAAAGACATGCTGACACTCTGGAGGAAAAAAGACCCAAATTTCCAGAATTTTTCTGTTCAGGGAAGATTATTAGTCCTTGGAAACTTAAACGTAACTGTAAATGGTATCTTTCTTTTCCTTTTATCTTTAATAAGCAGTAGTAGAATTTTGGAAGCCAATTAACTGGTCACTAGTTCTGAGGAAACTTCTAGTATTCACAGAGCTTTGATTGAAACTCATTTGAGACAGCTACCAAACTCTACCTGTGGAGCTGCAAAGACCAGGTACAAAGATCGTAAGACGAGCCTGGTAACTCTGAGCTCCACAATGTGTGGATGAAAACTCTGAGTCTTCTGAGGGCCCAGGCCTTTGCATTTGTAAATAGGTTTTGGTCGGAGACAAGCTGCATGAATGCTTTCATGATTAAAGCATCTACCGAGAGAAGGTAGAAAATTCAGAGTATTTTTGAGTTCCTTCTACAAACTCAGTCTTGTAAGCTGGCTCACTCTGTCAGCTGGTATTTTGCCAGAGAAAATAATGACCTGGTTTCAGTACTGCAAACAAAGTCTGGCAAACTGCATTAAATAAATGCATGATGACATATGGCTTGGCAGCCTGATAAGCTGTACTGTTACAGTTGGACTGGTTTCTCTTGAGCACCAGCAATTAGCAAGAAACTGGTATGATGAAGATGTGCCCTGAGGTGAGACTAGTTTTTTTAAACACTGTTTAAATTTCATGAGAAAGACTAAGAAAACAAGATGTGGTTTATTTTGCTTTCAACTACTATTGACACGGGTCTTTAATCAATAGATACATCAGTCATACATATAAGCACAAATGCTGCACATAATATGTACTTCTACTGTCAGAAAGCATTAAGACTATTAAAGCTCGGATTTTATTGTGAAACACAGATGGCTGAGTTACGCAAGAAACAGTAGACAATTATCAGACTAGAAAGACTGTGCCATCAAAGCAAGCATCACCACTCTGCCATGACTTAGTTATTCAGTCTTTTAGACAATGATGAACTCTCTTTTCTTCATTATGATAGGAAAATACCATGCATTTTCACCTGAACCATTGTTGTTCTGCCTCAACTGCAACAGTAAGAGCATTTCAGTTTGGCAGATCAGTTATTTCTATTAATTTAGAATATCTGTGGAAAAGGTCACTGTGATTCTAGAAGTCACATGTAAACTTCAGGCGGATCTTACAGGTATAAAACCACGCCCATCTACAGGGGATGTATTTCTAGCTACTTTGATTTTTAATTTTCTCTTTGAGAATTTAAACTAGATGAAGTGGGGACACTGTTCCAAGCGACTTCCTACAATATAAAAATCAGCTAATTCAATCTTGGAATGAAAACTGATTTCCAACAGTCTGGAAATTACAGTATGAATTATAAAGGCACGTATCTGCAATAGGTTAGACAACACTGATGATGAACATATGCATATCTACATTTCAATACAACAATCAAATGCAGGTATATGCAGGTAATTAGGATCTCCAGATAGTCTGACAAATTTTCTGCTTCTGAGTTCTTTTTAATGTTATATAAAATAAAGATAAGGAGCATCCAGATATCTTTCTGAAAAATACTTGGAACAGCCATTCACTGAAAAACAAAACAACCTCCCCCTCAAACAAACTAAACTCAACATTTATGAAGTTTTAACTAATTTTCCAACGTGAAGCACAAGAAAATCACTTACCTGTTCCCAACACTGTGGTAAAAGCTCAGCTTCTACACGTGTTGGTCCAACATGTCGAGCAAATGCCACACACCCAGTCAGTATCATCTGTCTGAAAACATAAATTTAAAGCTTTAATCTGTTTATAAAGTGAACTTCCACAATATAACAATATATTCTTTAAGTTAGGAAAAGCAGATCCTGCCAGGCAACTGGTAATTGTCTACAGTCAAAATTTCACAGTAAACACACTGACTTGAAGGCTAAATCTTAAACTTGAAAGCCACTATCTTGTTTTCTATTTAATATGCCTTTTCCAGAAACTTGCAGGTCCCAAACTCCATGAACCAGAGCCTGAGAATCTCTAATTCGGGAATCTCTGATTTCCTAATGTCTGAGATCGGGAATCTCCAACTAAATTTTCTTATTTATTTCTTATTACTGAATACTATGAGTCATCATGCAGTAAAAGGATCTAAATTACCTAATACTATCACACTATCAGCATTTTAGTCAACCACACATGCTGCTTTTAATTAGAAACATCTGTGAGATTTAATGACCTTTGTTCAAAACAAGTAACTTTATTTTATGAAATGGTTTTGCAACATTCTAACATGCAAGTTACTGTCACCTCTCCCAAAATACTGGACTTCACTCTTGTCAGAAGTCTTCTAAAGCCCCTTATAAAAGGGAAGCAATTAATTAATCACTAGTACCTATGATCACTGGAGTAATTTCTATTGCTGTTCTTGCAATTTTTAACTTTCCTCAAAGCTTGCAAGAAATCACTGTTGTTCCATCAATTTCACAGGCACAGAGATATATTTGAAATTCCAGTAAAACTGTACTTAACTGTAATTTGTGATATTTTAGATTAATTTAATGAGTGTTTATCTTGTTAAGATTTTTATCTTCTAACTATTTCTCCTGTCCATAGGATTGGAATGATACTAACTCTGCATTCAATTCACCAGTTCTATTTTACTCTTGGCGCCTACATCAACACTTAACCAGTTTCAAATGATAATGCATGGATATTAGACATTCATTTTATCACCTCCACAGTAAGAATAGGACACCACTGAGAATTTGTTCATTATTACTTTGTGGAAAGCCAAAATTCATTTTTTACTGTTTTATTTTCATGTCTAGACTCCTAAATATTTACTGCAGCTAACAGCATGTCCTTAAGGTTGAAAGGCAGAGATTCTGCTGGTTACTTCTTAAGCAGTTATACAACATACTCCATCAAAAAGAGATTTATTCACTTTCAGAATCTTTTCAAGGAGGAAGTCTATTAATTTTATTTTTTCCCCAGCATTCTTTAGGCCAACAATCACAGCAAGCTCTTTGGTTTTGTGTTGCACTTTTGGTTTTGGTGTTTGTGGGTTGTTTTTTTTTTCCCTCCTCTCTACCATGTACAGAGAACTAGACCTTTGATCAAGGTAAAAAGGTTGGAGGAAAGCAAAAATGCAATAATTAGATAAGACTCAAGAAATTAACAGCTCATATGCGATAGCAATATGGAGACAAAAGCCTGTGGTAATTCCAAGTTCTACAACAAATGAAATAGTTAGTCAAATACCTGTCTTTGGTTCTACATGCTGCACCTAATCACAGAACTGGGCAACAGAATATACTTTTAGAAGATATTAAAAAAGCAAAGAGCAGAATACAGTAATCACTTGAAATCTTCTGCACTAGAAATGGGGAAACCCAAAATATACATATATATATAT